ACCGAGACTGTTTGGGAGCCTCCAAGCATGTGAAGGTGGGCGGAGCTTGACGGCGCTTGCAGCACTGCATGGCCAGCATGCTGCGGGCTCAGGAAATCGGAGGGAATTGCCGAGGGTTTGGGTATTTTGATAAAGTTTGACAATAGCACTCAGAAGTGGAGAGTGATCTGCTGGGTTGGCGGATTTGTCCGGAGCTGTTTGCAGCTTCAGAGTATCGGAATGGGTGTTTAAAGCGATACGAGGCTCTACTGGATGCACTTTTGGAGAAAACCTCAGGCGACGTCCGGGCTGCACAGGGAGCGTCTTGCGTCCAACTGCTAGCCGTCCTTGAAGCTTCAAGCGCCTGAGTTGAAGCAGGTACAGGTTGGCATCGGTTGAAAGCTACAAGTAAGTAGAGCAGAGTTGTTCGGCATGCAGGCGGTCCTGTGGCTGCGCGAAGTGAAAAGGCTCGTGGCATCGGCTGCGCTCAAGTGCTTCTGAAGTTGCATACGTCTACATAGACTTCTGCCTGGGCAAGGCTACATCGAAGAGGAGGACCAAAGTAGATCAGGAAGTTTCGGAGAAAGCTGGCGCAAAGTTAGAGAAGGCTCGGGCAAAGCTTCGGAACGTGCCACAAGAGCTGTTTGATTCTGCAGGTGGTGGAATTTCCAGACGCCGAGGAAGCCCCCAGCCAATCTACCGGCAAGTGCGCCGAACATGCCCTCAATTGCCCATGACGCGGCGATACGGGCGACGTGAAAGTCCACATGGCCAAGCGCATTGCTTCTCGCATCCGCAGGCCGAGAAAAGGCGAGGGCCATGGCAAAGACGCAGACAAGGACGGGGCAAATGTGGCTGAGGGCCTGAGCTGAACCTTGTTCGTGCGCGCTTGCACTGGCGGGAAGGGAAGACCAAGCACAGGACCATAGCAAGAAGGATGCAAGTGAGCGAAAGCCAAGTCCCACTCGAAGCCATTCAGGCTTCTAGTCGGATGTTCACGTTTCAGCTGTAGGCAAAGGCCAGATCCTCCGAAACATGCCATCTAAGGAAAGGACCAGCGCAAGGACCCGGGGAAAGACTCAACCATGTCATCCCAAACTGTGCACTAAAGCGCCCTTGCTGCTGTGGCCCGCTTGTCAATGCTCCGGTCCGATCTCTGTCGTGACGATCCGAAGGAAGCCAGGGACGACCCTGAATCAAAAGGCAAGGAGGGCTCACACCTCGAAGTGCCAAAGAACAGCACCAGGGGGAAGCTTCAGCAGGACAGAAGCTCCGTGCATCTGCGTGTGGCTTCGATAGATTCCCATAGATCTCATGCGGAGGAGGGGAGCAAAGCTCACCTGGAGCCTACTGAGCCAGCTGAGTCGGTTCCCGGCTCACTGCACCGTGCTTTTTGTAACCTGCCATGAAGACGTGCCTCGGTTTGCCCGGATGCGATGAGGTATCAGCCGTGTCGCAGCAAAGCTCGCGTAGCCGAAAGACCGATGTCACTGAAGATGAGGAGGCTGAGGGCGAGGATGGCAAACAGACCAAGAGGATCAAACTACAAAAGCAGCCAGACATGGCACTGTGCCTGCCTTAGCCTAGCACAGATTTAAGATTGCAGTTTCCCCGCCTTTGACTCGCAGGTACGAGCAGGCCGAGGCCTTCAACAAAACCCTTCCAGCAAAAGTTGATTTCAGCCGCGTGGTCACGTATTTGGACCTCGCAGCCCCCGTCTTCATATAATCATGTAGTTGCATCCGAGGTGTGTCGCAGGCCGTGGGGACTCAGCTTGAACTGTGTGGTTCCTCGCCCCAACAGGGGCAGAAGTTCACTTCCTTCGCGGTTTCTGTGGGCTGAATGTGTTGTCTAGGGCCGAGGGAGGCAACATTCGAGCATTTAAGATTTTGGCCTCAAGGCCTGCTTGGGGGTACTTGCTTCGGCGAGCGACGCTGGAAAGGTTTTCGGCAACATTGCTGCATGCTGCATTCCGCCCAGTTCTTGCTTCCCAAAATGCCAAAATGCACATGGCCAGGCCCTGGCAGAAGTGGACGACGATGGCCGAACTCCCCTAGGGCTGGCGGTGCAGGTCCTCGCATTACATGCTGTGCGATTTACGCCTTGCAATGGGCATGCACTGGGCATGCTGGGGTACGGTACGAAGATGTGCGGCCGATGCTAGTTTTGGCAGAGGCCGGCCATGTGCGCGTGACCCTGCTGCTCTTGGAGAGAAAGGCATCTTTGGAGGTGGCTGACAAAACAGGCGGGTACGTACATGCGATAGTTGGACCGTGTGCAAAGTCAAGGCATAAGCAATGTGTCGTCGCGGAGGCAACACGATTCTGATGCTGGCAGCGCGAGGTTCGTCTCGTACCACTCTGATGATTGTGGAGCGGCAGCCTCAATCCCATGGTAACGCTTCAGCTTTGTCCTTGGTTCGGCAATGCGCTGGGCCGCTGCACTGGCTCTTGTTATTGCATGACTGTTATATCTGCTGCCGAAGTGGATAGCGACTTGTCTTTTTAGTGCTTGATTGTGAGGCACCTCCTGGCGGCACGTGCAGATGTGCAGGCATTGCATAGCTCGCAGGAGGGAAGGTGACGAGGTACACCCCATTCGAACGGCCTGCTCAGACACAGGAACTGCTTTCGCATGCAACGTGCTGGGTTGGACGTAGCCGTGTCGTGTGCTGCTCCGAAGCACCAAATGTGCTTTGAAGGCTCAAAACGACGACAAATGCACCGCAGCAGACGTTGCCAAGGCCCCCTTGCTGCGTGAAGTGCTTTCTGCACAAGAGACACTCTCTGCCTCGGACGTGACATCTGTGAAGGCTTAATGCTGTCCCACTGATCGGAATGCAGGCTGCACAGAGAACAGCACAGCTTGGCGCATTGCAGGTACCGAAGGTGCGAAATTTTCTCAAAAATCAGATCGAGCGGCTCCAGGCCAACTCAGGGCTACCGAAGCATCCCGAAAGGGTGGGCAGGTTTCTCGAAGTGGAAGCTCATCGCCCCTGCTTTCACTTCTGCCCAATGTGTCAATTTGGGCAATTCCAGAGATATCTTCACGGTTTTCACAAGGTGTCTGATTGCTCGATGGGCATTTCTTCAAAGCCTTTCCTTTGCTGCACAACAGAGTCCACCTGTTATAGTGTAGTCACTGCCGCGATGCTACATGCTGAAGCTTGCAGCTGTGGTAAAAGAAGGAGACGCAGAAAACCCGGGCAAGTCAAGCTGTTTGAAGCTACCGTTCTTCCCGATGCCTGTCCGACTCTTGCAGCCTGCATCAGGTCGGCAAGAAGCTCGGTCAGTCGCAGAGCCTTCCTGCTTTGAAGGCGTGCCCCACGCTTCTCTGACTGCTGCCATGTGAACGGAGGGTGTCCTGTAGGCTGCTGCACCCGAGCGGAGGAACAGCCGGAATAGCGAGCAGTAGCCCCAAGACTTTCCTGTGAGCCCGTTTTGTGGAAACTGTGCTTGCTGAGGTCTGAAGAGTCTCCCCCGCAGCCGGCATCAATGTTGCCAGGCCTCAAGCGGCATCCGTACATGTCATGTCAGCGTCAAAACCTCTGTGGTGTGGCCGCTGCTTCCTGCGAGAATCGCTAGGTGTGATGCACCACGTTAAATTTAAAGCCAAAGTGCGCAGGTTAGCCCACTTGTCATGTCATGGGTGCCGTCTGGATCAGAGGACCGCATGTATCTTTAGCCCATATGTCCGCCTCTCAAAATGCTCGACTCCACCATACCAGCCCGCTTCCTCTCAGGTGTGGTTTAGGTTTAGACATACAAGGTTAGATAAGACTAAGACCGGATAGCCAATCCTCCAGCAGCACTGGAAACGAGCAGGCGTAGGTCCTTCATGAACTTTGCGGCTCCGCCGCCGTGGGCAGCCGAGGCCACCCCACACGCCCAACACAGTTTGGCGGACCTTGCTGGGGCGGCAGTGCCCTTCCCCGGTGTTCCTTGGGCACCAGCCTCCCGCAAGGCACCCGTGAACTTTCTGCCGGCCTGGCAGGAGCTACAGCTGCAAAATCAGCAGCTCCCGCAGAATGTGGGCCCACTTCCCCTCCACCAGCCAGTCGCCTTTCAGGCTCCGCATGCTCCGCTCGGTCACAGCCAGGGCCAGGGCCAGGGCCAGGGCCAGGGAGGGATGAAATCAGCGAGGGGCCCTCCGCCTCCAGCCCAGAGCTTCGGCTTTGCCTTTCCGGGTGAGCTGACAGACGAGCAGGAGAAGAAGGAGAAGAAGAGACGTCAGCAGCAGGAGATGCAGATGGCCCTAGCCGCGCAGATCAAGGAGCAGCGAGCTCGCAAGGAGACGGACAAGTCCGAGGCTCGAGCGGAGGCAGCTCCGAGGGAGGAGCCTGGGCCCTCTGGGCTCTCTGGGCCCTGGGAGGGTATGGGCAGATCTGGTCCGCAGCTGGGGCCGAGACAGCGGCGGCCAGAGCCCGAGCCGGACCAGCGAGAGTTAGAGCGTCGCAGACAGCAGCAGGAGCTCGCGCGGGAAAGGGACAAACTCTAGCCCATATATAGCCTAGCTATGCCTAGCTTCTAGCTTGCCAGATGAACGATCTGATCTTTGTTTCAGCGCTTTGGGGCTAAGGGTATGAGGGTATGTCCGAGTCCTGCTTCGCAGTTTCCCTAGACCTAGACTGCAAATGCGATAGAATCCGATAGAATGCACCAATCCCTGTTCTACGTACCAAGCACTATACTCGGGTTCAGTTTTTTTTTGCGCGCTCCTGGCTTAGCTCTAACGGGATGGTGGTTCGAACAGTTTCAATTGCTGAGGCCTGTACTGCTATTGTTGTTGCTACCGCTGCCACTGCTGCTACTGCTGCTGCTGCTGCTGCTTCTACGGCTGCTGCTACCGTTGCTGCTGCTGCTGCTGCTCCTCCTGCTCCTTCCACAATTTTCGCATATTTCTCAGGAGCTCCAAAGGGTCTTGGCGGCCCAGGTGGAGGAAGCGAAGCAGCGGAAGGAGGAAGCCAGGCAGCGTCAGAAGGAGGAGGAGGATCGAGAGGAGCAACGCCTTCGACGTGAGATTGAAGAAGAAAACCAAAAAGAGCTCCGGAAGGCTGAGAAGCATGAGGCAAAGAAGGCACCTCGTGCTCGCGATGCGGATACAGAAGCGCGGGAGACCGCAACGGGTCGCTCCACTAGAACCCGGGAGCGATTCCGTGACGAGCCTTGGCGCGAGTCCCACTCCGGCAGACTCCGAAAAACCCGGGATCGGCTCCGGGATACGCGCCACGGCCGGTCCAGGCGGACCCGCAACGAATATCCTCGAGACTGCGAGGCCTCTCCCAGCCGAGAGCTCCGCGAGTGGCAGTCGCCGGTGCCATCAAACGCAGGCCCAGCAGATACAGCAGGAACTTGGGCTGGTACTTGCTCTCCGCCCCCACGAAGGAAAGGCGACAGAGAGAGGCGAGATGGTCGAGAGGGGCGAGAGGAGCTCGGCTTTCAGGGCTTTGTGGAGCAGCAGAGGCTGCTGGCAAGCGAGATGCAGCGACAAGTCTTGGAGCTGAGAAACCAGCGAGATGAGGCGCGGGAGCAGGCTCTGAAGGTGAAGGAAGACGCCATCAACGACCGTCACCGACACCTCCAGGACCAGCCTTTCGGGGTACGGGGGTTTTCTAAGGCAGTCTTGGTGCCTTCCTTCACAGGTTGTTTTGATTTTGATGCTCATTCTTACAACAGTGTTGTAGAGTATTGATGCGCCCGAGGAGTTGCAGCAGTGCTTGCTGGACCAGCTGCAGAGCAAGCCTGAGCCCAGCAAGGCCTCGCAGGAGATTGAGAACGAGAAGTTCAAAGAGAATCCGGTGAACGGGCTCGCCGACGACCTGCCCGAGGTTTGGGAGCATTCCATCGCATCGCATTCGCGCTTTGTGGCCATTGATGCCGGCTTGGCAGTGCTTCATGGGGCACTCAAGCAGCCCGAGTTGCCCCATGCATCTGTTTCGGAGGCTCTAGTTTCACCCCTCGAAGTTTCACACAAAAGGGACGGTCCCGGTGTTCAGTGCCATGATTTGAATGACCTTGGCTACAAGAAGTCGCCGGATCAGCCAGCTGCAGCTCCGCCGCATTCTTCTCCGCTTCCTGCCAGCGAACAAGGCAGCTCAACTGGAGGAGCTTCTCCAAACTTCCGGCTTACAGAACAGCTTGACAAGGACAAAGCTGCTGCATTTCGGAAGGCTTTAGACACTGCAAGTGGTCTTCCTGCAGATTTGCGCGATGACTTGTGTGCCCTGTTGGAAGAGTCAGTGGAGACGGTGATGCCACCGGTGATGCCAGCGCCCTCGGCTGCCCAAGGCAGTCGTGCTGGCAGACCGCCCGTTGGCAAAAGCGACGTCAAGGGAGAAGGGATCCCAGGAATCCCCTTTCCTTCGGGTCCCCAGCGGCCGCACGCAAGTAGAGCTCGTAGCAGCACGCCTGGCACAGCAGAGCTCACCACAGGCACAGCCGCGAGGCGCCACAGTCGGGAGGAGCGGCGAGCTCACAGCGCTGCCGAGGCCTCCCGGCGCGAGGCCAGCGCGTGGAGGCGCAGCGACGCTTTGGCAGCCGCTGCTGCTGGCATCGTTGGGGTGCCTCAACTAGGTGAGGCTATGTAGCAATAGATGGAACCCTGGAGCTGTACAGAATTGAGTCTCGGCTTCGTCCCGAGTCGAGGATGCCAAGGCTGGCTGATGTAATGGGCTCGGCAACTACCTGCAGATGCCAGAAGCGTCGTCTGCTCGCTGCTACAGCCCGACTCTCTTTGCAAAAGGCTGCTGCTAACGGAAGTCACATTCAGTTCTCTTTATTGCATTATGACGCCTTGTTGTGATGTACTCCGCCAGGCGGACGAGTTCGTCTCGAACACTTGCTCCCCGGATGTATCTCATGTTTCAACCTCCTGTTCCAAGCCACAATTGCCATTGAGACTACGAGCTAGCCTCTGCCTAGGCCCGCCAATGTTCCGTCTGCATCTCGTTGTTCCAGACCGGCGCTGTCAGAAAGCCCACCCCTGTAGCATGTGAGTCTGGTGATGAGGCCAGACATTCTGGAGGCCGGGCTGCAGTGCTCAGAAGCTTTCACTAGACTCGACTGACTAGACTCTCTACTCCAAACCTGTGCGAGCAGGACGCAATCCTTACCTTGGTGAGCCTGCGTCGTGCACCGCAACCCAGGGCGATCGAAGTTGCGGCCTGGAGCTCATTCTACTCTTCCAGGTTTTTCGAGCCTTTGCGAAGTGAGCGTCTTAGGCTGCCACAGCAAGCTAATGTTGCTGGGCTTGGGCGGGTAGCAGTGGTAGGGAGAAGCACCCGCGGCATCTTCATGGAACGTTCCAGATTTTAGATGGCCTTTCAATGCTCAACGGTCCGCTTTCGGAGCTCAGGTGCACCCCATCACCCAACAAACGCTAGGCTGGAGCGCCTGGACGTTTGCAGCTCAGCGCAAAAGCAGTGCGAGCCCGAATCTTTCGGCCGCAAGGCCACGCTTACGTGGACTACGATGACGAGGTGTTGGCAATACAGCTTGCCGATGCCAAATGCGATGCCAAGAAGGATCCGTTTCGAGGCCGGGCAAAGGCGATGTCTGGCAGGCTGAGACCTTGCCGACGTGGGTGATATTTAACAGGCTCATGTGTTGGTATGCCAAGCCTTGCATGTGCGAGAGCGTGCGCACCCACACGCCCTGAGCAATCGTGAAGTTGCAAACGAGTGGCAGGCCTTCGAAACAACCTCGCACTCGAACACAAGTGCTCCTCAGGCACAGTGCAGCTCCTCAAAGAGGAATGCTTTCGCCCCCTGCGCCGAGCCTCTCGAGCCTCTCAGGGCCTGGACCCCAGGAGGCCGAAAGTTCCGAACTCCTCTCAGGGCCTGCAGCTGCTCCCGGGGTCCCGTGTCCTTCGGAAGCGCCCTTTTCCGGTGGCTTCGGAAGCATAGAAAGCCTCACTGCCCAAACGTCTGACGCTGTTGCAGCACAGTGGATTTGCATCAGCGTCTTGTGGCCCGAGGATCCTTGTGAGCAGCAAGGCTCTGTGATTCGGTATTGACGCATGATCTGGCTGATCTGGTTCTCCGGAGGAGACCAGTATTTCGTGCTCCAGCTGCCCGTTGGTAGGATATGTCGGCTCATGACTCAACATCTACTGCGTCCCTTCCATCTTGAAGCATTGCTTCGTACTACAGTTGCGTTCCTTAACCTGGCCTACCTCATGCAGCTTTATGCATGACGGCTAGTAGCAGCCTGGCCTCTTCTTCCAAAATACAGAGGACCCCTGAGCCTGAGTTGAGACAACTCTGCCTCTTCGCGGCATCATGCGGTTTCAATGGGTCGAGGCCCAAGATGCAGACCCTAGGAAAAAAACTGTGCTTGGGAGTGTTTGTTAATTGTTTGCCGCGGCTGACGCTGTACATTACTGCTGGGGCTTTTGTGGCCTTTCAGCACCTGCCGTCTCAATTTTTAAAGTGGCCGTGCCCAAGGCACCACTGTTATGGATGATTTGGGCAGAGAGTCCAGTCATCAGGGACCCTGGCAGACTACTTTCCGAAGTAGCCCAGAAGTTGGCAAGTGCTGTTCCCTGCCTCGAAGTGGCTAGGGGCAGCACGCCTCGCTTCCAGGTTCCAATAGCAGCGACCTAGCGCTGGAAGATGTTCGTGTATTTTCGCACCAGGACGGAAGATGTCTTTATTGCCTCTTACATCCTGTTACATCGCACTGAACCGTGCTTTCTGTGAGCGCGAGTTTTACTTGTCAACCTGCCTTGCCCGCTCATGGCTCACCCTTAGTCGTGGTCCCTTTCGTCTCCACTGTGGACATTCATCTGGTGCTACGCGCAGTGAGTGAAGGAGTTGTTTCTGTCTTAGACATGGACGAATTAACTATAGGACATTGCCGGCCACCTGAAAAGGCGAACCGAATAAGGTCGGCGTCTACAGCTTTCACAGACTTACATGTCATGGCACGGAACAGCGATGCCCGAATGGGGAAGTGGCCATGCTCGACCCTCGGAAGAAACACTCATGTGCAACAAGATCAAGGTGAACTCTTCGGAAGACATACGTTGCCACCTTCTGAGGCTGATAGTCGGCGCTCGTCGTGGCCGCCGTCCCAGATGATACAACCTGCCGATTAACGAGCAACCGTTCTCTCGATTACGATGTCGCAAAAGTGACAAAAGTGCTTCTGCGGCCGTGCGCGTGCACGAGGTGTAGTGCTTCCCTGGAAGGTGCGATGGCTGCGTCAGGTTGAGAAAGTTGCATGCAACACTGATTTTCTGTCGCAGGACGTGGGGCCAGAAGCATCGTGGCCACGCTGTATGCACAGTTCTCGGCGTGACCCGAAGCAGGGACAAACTTATTCAAACAGGGACAGGGAGGGCAGAACGTCGCATAGATGCAAGTAGTCGACGGTGCCAAGCTCTTTCCTGTTCAAGGCTCAGCAAGAGAAGCTACACAACCTCGAGTTGAAGCTGAGGCGCGAGCTCGGAAACCGAGCTTTGGGCTGAGAAAAAGCTTGTACGTCACCATAATCGAAATTATGATCTGGTCCAGTCGCCTGTCCAAAGGCTAGGTCCGCTAGATGATCTGGCTGTGTCCGGCAAGTTCTCGGGCTGCCAGGCAGCTTCAAGCAACTCCCAGTGTTGCAGCGGAACAGCCCCGAAATCGAGGCAGGATGTGTATGGAGCCATGCTGATACGAGGGAGCCCAAGCAATCGCAAACAAAAACAGCTATGACTCTCAGAGGGCCTGGTAGGGCCTTTTTCGCAACACTTTCTGTGCATTCAGCCAATCACTGTGACAAAGCGGGTGACGATGGTTGACTTGGCGACCCCTGACCATTGAGCCGCCGGCCGACCACAAGCCGATGACGAGTGCATATGTGCTTGAATGTATGCACATATTGAAATGGGTGACACAGTTCTTTCCCTCCCTCTCCCTCTCCCCCTCAGCCTACCCCTTCCTCTACCTCTCTCCCTCCCTAGTCTTCGTTTCTGTTGGTACTCGCAAGGCTCGTTGGGCGATGCACTGCTATTTTGGCACTGGTGCATGTCAACAATCCCCCGTAATATCTCCACTGTGTGAGGGATGACCGCATTTATGCCGCAGGTTTTCCTTTCAAATCAGAGAGAACCGTTATCTCCCTCACAGGCATGTTGGGCGTTCACGAGAATCTTGCGCAAGTTGCGGTGCCCAACATTGAGATCGTGATCCCGGACTTCGTGGACTGCTCGGGGCCAGAGCATGCGGATTGGCAGGATTTTCGAAGTATGTTCGAAGAAGTGTCCGAACATGCATCTGCGCGGAGCGAAGACGCTGGAACGCCTTCCTTTCCGTTCTTCCATCCCTCGCTGGCTCGTGAAGCTCATAGGCTCTACAAGAAGTGGTATGGTCTCGAGGTCTTACTCTGGCAGCCTTTTGGCTTCTGTCAGGATACTTAGTCCGATGATTGTTTGTTTTCAACCCCGTGCCGGCACTTGGTGCAGGTATGCTGCACAATGGCATAGAAGACTATCCGCCGGGCGCAGCCTTGTTCTACCATAGCTGCCATTTTCAGGAGCGGACGGAGTACTGCCTCTACGGACATGTCGCGGCCCTCACCTATTTGGCCAAGTACACAGCAGAGGAACATGTGTCTCACGACTTCGCCAGGCACGCGATGCGGCTTCTCCACTGGAACCTTTGCCTGGACTTCCTTGAGTCTTCGAAGTGGGCAGCTTGGGGCTTATCGATTCTAACGCTTTGGGACATGGTCCAGAACTTTGCATACCCGCAAGTCTCCCTTCTCCACCAGTACTTAGACTGGGGTCCTGGGACGGCCCCCACTTCTCAGCCGCCCTCGGAGGCTCAGGGGTCTTCAGGTTTCTGGATCTTGGAGTTGGGGACCCACCGTGCACTCTCCAACGAGCCTGTCTCTATGCTGAAGCGCATGCTTTCGAACTATGACGTGGTCCACGAGAACCCCATCAAGCCATACCAGGGGCGAGCCGAGGCCTTTGTTCATCCGTTTCCACGGTCTTGTAGCCCGAACTGTCCTAACCAGCAGCTCAGTGGCAACTTGTCAATGTTCCGTCGGGGGCTACATGCTAAAAAGGGCTCCTTGACTAATCAGAGAGTAACCTGGCACAGTCCAAGGCAAGACAGCGTCCCGTACAGCTTCCCTGTCTTCGAAGATATGGACCAGTCAAGAAAAGGCTTCCATGAGTGGGTGCAAGGAAGCCTCTTCAACAAGGTTGAAATACGAAAAGCAAGCCTCCTGCTGTGTACGAACCCGATCTACTACTGCAATTTCTTCGCCGGCCTCAACAAGACAATCCTGGGCTACTTTGGCCTTCCCCTGCTGTACATGGTGCCGGAAAGCAGTTGGTCAAGGTGAGGGCTTCTCAGCGAGAGGGTGTTTCCAGACAGCTTCTGAAGTGGCAGTAGTTGACAGTAAAACATAATGAATGACATAGTGACATAGTGCAAACAGTGCATGTCCCCGTCAGCTGGATCGACGAGTTCATCGACATGGCCTCCATGCCCACAAGTTTCTTCGTCTCCAACAACCGGTTGCATTCCGAGCAGCTTGCGTGGCAGAGTGGCGTCCGGCTCCACGTGCTACAGCCAGTGGCCGACTATCTGAAGGAAAGATACTCTCCACAGAGGTTGGGGGATATCCTTGTGCCCGAACCCCGGGAAGCCTGCGTCCTGCACTGCCTTATCCGAGCCTTCAAGCCCGCCAGCTATCCTTTCAACTTCTTCTCCAAGGCAGATACAGATCGAACGATCCGAACATTTGTGACATTTCGCGCCATTGTCCTCTTCCCGCACGACTTTGCTTTAATGACGTTTTATGAATTCTATGCCATGGGGGTTCCCTTGTTCATGCCATCTCATCTGTCGAAGTATCTCTTTCCATTCTCAGCATCTGTGCCTCTGCTGGACTGGGTTCCAAAGCGTATTGCCATGCAGGGAGGTCGCCCGCCCTATTCACCGTTGAGCATGACGACCTCGGCGGCACTTCAGTTCTGGTCGAGCTCTATCGATTTCTTCGCGTTTCCTGGTATCCAGCATTTCGATAGTATAGCAAACCTTCTGGTCATGCTGCCGTCGTCAGATTTCGAATCCGCAAGCCGACGTATGAGAGACAACCGAGAGGCGCGTGTGGAAAGTGGTGCTCCATTTTGGTCAGCTGTGGCAGCGTCTGCACTTCGAGATGGGCTGAGGCCGTAGGCACTGGAATGTCTCAGCCAGGTGACTTGACGGCTTGAGGACCGCTGCGCAATTTCTGCCATGGTCGCCAGGAAGGCGGAGGGAAGGCCTTGCACACTATCGTGGAAAAGCCCGCAGCAGCTGATCGAGCGCTGCTGGACCACTGGCTGCTGGCAGTTGACATCGTTTCGGACTGACGGGCCCTGCTTTTGTCGTGGACGCGCTGAATGTGCGGATTGGGCACCGAAGCCACAAACCAGCCAACATCATCACGGGAAGAGTCAACCGCGAACGGCGTGCAGATGGCGAGCCGACCATCGTGCAACTCGAAAGTCCAGTGTCCGTGTGGACGAGCACGTGGATGTCGTGCAAAACAGGTGCATTTGAATGGTGGGCTGTGGCTGAGGCTGAGGCTTTGCACGACAGTCCTTGCAACCTTGTGCATCTGGTGGTGGACAAGTCTTTTCAGACGGGGCTGCAACAGTGTGAAACAGCTTGTGTTGAGAATGTTGGTCTGACCGGACCCGCAATCCGTTTTTTCATGGGGCATGCATACAGTCGCATCAAGAGGACAAGCCGTCAGGTGTCTTCGCCACCAGTGCAGAATTGCTTGGGGTGCACCCGATGCGGCGTAGAAGGGTGACTGCATCTTTTCGGATGGAGGATGGGGCCTCAATTCGGAGCTGTTATTTTTTTGTATTTTGTTGTTTACTTTGTTTTTGGCATGCGCGGGGTGGGTGGGCGCAAGGGGGGGGGGGCTCGAGGCCCAAGTCTCTATGTACAAGTGGGCTTCGAAGCAATACACAGGTGGAAGCAACCTGCCGTAATGACATGACCGTGATTAGGTTTGATGCGATCTATCATACAAACTTTGTATTATTCTATCTTATATTGATATTGGTTCAACATGATATGTATATTGAGGTTATACAAACTGTTCCATCAATAGTAAACTCCAGTTTTGGTAATACTGCAAGATATGTTACAAGTCAGTCTAATGTTATGTAAAAAAGACCAGCACTGCTATATGACCATATGAATACTATATCAAGAATATGTAGAACTTGGCTAGGATGTTAATATTCGTGGCGGTTACTATTTTACATTAAGAATGTTAATGTTAGTTTCTTTTTTGCTATTGTACAGAACAGTATATTACAAGACAAAACCTTACAGCATATTATATACACCATATGATGTTGTATTCTATTCGGTTCGAGTATTATATGTTATGCTATATGGGTTATATCACCACCCTGCATCCTAGGTTCGTCCTTGCCAGACGGGAGGCAAAAAAACACCATATTGTATTTTATAGTATATATATGTATATATCGTTATATCATCTTATATCAGCTTGCCTATCAGCTTGCCTGTAAAATACGTGGTACGTTTTCCATCATATTATCATACCATACATTACTGAAGAATCATTTACAATGCAAACTAGACGTGCGCAAGACCACACAATACAGTACCAAATTAACTTCATACAGGGTCCGAGTGCCTAGTAATCATATCTGTCCCACAGAGTAACCTACAAAACCATTATCCGTAGCCCAAGTACTTGATTCTTAGGTCTTGATGAAGCAAGATGCCTCAAAACTGACGGAGAGTTTGGGGTCTACCTGGACCCCAAAGACAATACCTTTTTAGGGTTCCTTATTATGAGTCCCTTATGTCAGTCCCTAGAAAAGTAGTAGGCTCTTTAGGGTCTAGGTAGGGTGGAGGGTCTGGGGTCAAGGGGTTTGGGGTTTAGGGTTCAGGTTCGGGTTTCCCAATATCATGTAGTGTTAGTTAATGTAACAAACTGTAATTTTTGTAAGGCATGTGATCACAAAGGGTATGCATTTCATTATATCATGAGGAAACATGACAGAATAGAAAATTATATCACATGATATTGTTATAGAGAGAGATATGGTACAACCAATATAACATAACATATTGTAATCGAACCAAATAGGCTGCATCATCATATGGTGTATACAACATGCTGTAAGGTTTTATGGTATTATATACTAGTGTACCATAGCAGAATATAGAAACTAACATGAATATGCTTAATGTAAAATAGTAACCGTGACGAAGAGTAGTTGTCCATTAACATCCTAGCCAAGTTCTGCATGGCATATTCTTGATATAGTATTCATATGGTCATATAGCAACGCTGGTGTTTTTTACATAACATTAGACTGACTTGTAACATATCTTGCAGTATTACCGAAATTGGAATTTACTGTTGATGTAACAGTTTGTATGACCTGAATATACATACCATGTTGAATCAATATCAAAATAAGATAGAATAGCACAATGTTCATATGAAAAATCGCATCAAATCTAATCTAAGTCATGCTTGTCGAGAGTGAGTGCCCAAAAATCTAAGTCATGTCATTACGGCATGTTGCTTCCACCTGTATATTGCTTCGGAGCCCACTTGTACATAGAGACTTGGGCCTCGAGCGCAACCCACCCCCCCCCTCGGCGCCCCCACACCTCGCGAGCTCCCCTCAGCCCCTGCACCCCCCTGCACCCCCACCCAACCACCCTCCGCAGGCAAAAACAACAAAAAAGGCTAAACACTCTTCTCACACCCCTCAATTCTGCTGCTCAGTTCAGCAGTTGCGACAGCCCTTGCCCAGCAGAGAAACGATTTTGCTCCTGGCCTCAGGCGGCGGCGGCGGCGTCGCCTCCTTCCTCGAGGACGTGGCTCGTCGTTTGGACGCTGTCAGTGACCGCCTGCAGGCTTGCTGACGCAGTTGTCGGCTTTGCCTGCAAAGTGCCTGCAATTCTGTGCATAGCAACATGCGGGCAGCGGTTTTTTTGCGCGAGTGCATTGTGCACCCGATGCTGTTTGAGCTCAAAACCGAACCCGGCCGCGTCACCCTTCGAGGCCATGCTAGTGCACGGCACTGGCTTCTTCCACGTTTTCAGATACGGTCTGACCTTGCTCTGCTGGCTCACTTCTTTGCCTTGGACTGCCGCAGGGGCATTTGACTGCCCAAAGCAGACGTCCGCTTCCGCACAGAGCGTGGATGCCGAGGTAGGCCTGGAAGTTCAACTACTGCAGACGAAAACCAGCTTGGAATCTCCTCTTGCTCGTGCCGGAGATCATGCCTGTTCGGCTGGGTACGGGCCAGGTATGCACGTGGTACAGCTCCCCAGCATTGAGAGACAATTTCTCTTCCTCGTGCCCCCGGAGCTCGTGGCCTGGAGCAAGAACTCCAGAAACTTGTACTGCTGGAAGAGAGCTCTAAACTCTAAAGGGTTGAACACAACATGTCTGTGCCGTGTTTTGGCAAGAGTGTTGAGTTCCTGAGGTTCACAGCAGCTCAGGGGTCCCTCTCGTGATGTCCTTCCACGGCACTTTCGAGACTCCATGGTTCCACGAAAAGGAGGTTGGCTACATGGATGTGCTGTCACGCCACGGCTGGTTGGGAATTCTGCCCTGGGGGACACTACCGGACAGTCCGTCGGCCATGGGTGGAGTGAGGGAGTGCTGCTCCAGGTGGTGCGATTCCGAAGAGTGCTGCATGCAGGGTGGTTTCGTTTCTGCCAAGACCGAAGCTTGCAGTTGGTGGTCCTATGAGAGGGACGTAAAACTAGTCGACACAATCTGGAATTGGGTGGAGGAGCACACCTGTGTGGACCGGACCAAGGCTTGCCGGATGAAGCAGCACTCCCAAAGAAAACTATCGCTTAGTTAGAGGTCTAGTTTGTTGATTTGTCCAAACCCAGCTTTGGACCAGGTCTTCGCAGCCGGCTTCAGCTTGGGTGGCAGCTTTGACTGGTACTTGGAATGCCACCGGAGCCAGTATTTTCGTGGTGTCGCACCCATTGAACCCGCTGAACCACTTGTTTTCATGAAAGAGAGCTGCCCAGAGCCTTCTGCGAGGCCTCGGTTGAGCGCAAGAGATTTTGGAGCTAGATTTTGTTTTGGGATTGTGTTCGACTGGCTGGCTTTCGCGGCTTCTTCTCACTTTGGTTTACTGACTTCTAGGCTGCACGGATTTCTAGATTTCTTAGCCCGCTCTACCTCCACTGGTATGGTGAATCGAGAAAGACATCCATCGTCCGAAGTCTGTTGCTTGCAGGTGTGAGTGTGTGAGGGGAAGTTGAAGGTGCACGTCCCCCATCCCCGGGAGCCCCAAAAGGGGAAAAGCCTATGCCCTATGCACATACCAGTAACCAAACATCCTAAAACATTGTAAAGCCTCTGGAGGCAGAACAGTCACGGAGACAAGCTGAGACGAACTAGTCACTACAGTGGCATACCAGCTCTTCCTCATGCGCAACCCGTTTTCCACGTATCAATTTCATGTGCTTTTTTTCTGGCCAGGCCAGTCTCCGTCCTGAGCTATGGTGGAACGCAAGACCCCCACGTCGACCTCGAGAAGCTTGCCCGCATGACAGAGCAGCGGGCCCAGGCCTGTGGATGCCAGACAGAAGTTGCGGAGCAGCTCTCCGCCACCGCGACTCATCACAGCAATTCACGCTTCAACTCAGCTGTCCCTAAGCGCCTGCATGCCCGCTAGCACCCACTAAGCAGATTAAGCAGTGCACTGCTGGCTCAGGTGAACTGTACAACCTGGTCACAATGCAGCGGTGGACATCTTTTTGAGTTCTGCGTCGTAGATGGCATGGCCCACAACATCCCTGGACATCTGAAGCCGGACCAGACAACTTTCATCCGTGCAGCATCTGACGTTGACTGGACGAAGCGCACGTTTGAACGTTTCTCGCTACTAGTGCAGCCCGGCCAACTCCTCTTCTATGCCCAGCCAACTGCAGAAGAGCTCGAGTGGAAGGACGCTCATTGGCCTCCTCCGAAGCTTACAGATCATCAGTATATACGAAATCCAGGCACGCTTTGACCAGGGAGTTTCGAGAAGATTGCAAGCCGCTTGACCAGTGTCGCTGAGACGCCAAAAGCCGCGCTGTCGGCGGGGCATCGAAAAGAGACGTGCTCTCAAGGGCCCCTTTTTGTTTGCCGCCTTGCCTTTTCAGATGCCAGGCACTTCCTGTCAGTCAGCCAAGGCTGTGAGACCTGCACAGACGCCTTGCAATAGGCTCTGATCCGCCTAAAGTCTCGCATGCCAGGTCAGCCATACGTCATAGACAGGCGGCTGAGGCCGACAGTGAAGTGTCTCTTTGCCTGAGGCGACTCAAAGGCTGGGCATCTGGTCTTACGCTGTAGGAGATGTGCAGAGAGGTCGACAGAGGACCGGGACGTGGACTCGCTGTGCAGTGACGGTAAACCTCTTCTCGGAAGCTTGCAGTGCAAGTCACTAGCACCTGTGGAAGGCTTTCCGGAGTTTGTGGGAATCCGGCGTGAGCCACCAGCCCTAGGTCCACGCCCCGTCTTTCGCCGCCAGTCTACACACGCAGTACAGGTGGCTGTGCGTGTGCGTGCATTTGCCACCCTGCGCTCAGGTCACACAGGCCTCGGGTCAGCACCGAGTTGGCCAGAAAAGGCTTTGCTCTTCATTGCCCTGCCGCGCGAGAACTGCGTGTGAGGGAGTTTGCACAGGCCGAAGATGCTTGGCGGGAACGACACTGGATTGCCAGCACCCTCAGAGCTATTCAGAGCTAACGTGGGAGTTGATTGGATGAAGCGTTGATATGCCAGAAGCCGCTTCCAGGAGCCGGTAGCTGCAACGCAAGTACATCCTCCCGCGCGAGAAGTAGGCGAGTACTGGTAGAAACGCACGATGCCAGGCTGCTGGCAGGATTTAGGTGTTCGAGACTTGAACCGTGCCAGGTGTCAGGCAGGCGATTCCAAGCCCCTTTCCCCAGGCCAATCAACGAATCAAGGCCTGAAGCAGAGAAGTTGGAACTCCGCGGTCTGTGCAGTGCTCTTCGTGAGCGTGAGGGTTCTTGCTGGCTCACAGTTCGGATGCTCGTTTATTTAGATTGAGCGGAAGCACAGGCGGCAGTGCCGGAGCTCCCTGTGGCTGAAAACATCGACCGAGACGTCTTCCTGGCCATGGGCTGCAAGGCCTCACGACGAAGTGATTTTTTTCTTCGAGAGGAAAGCGAACCTGAAGCTTCAGGCCCCGCAGCCTCGCGACATCGCCCTGCCCTACGACAGGCAGATGCCGGCACCTCTGCCTGACCCTTAGGGCTACTTGGACTGACCAGTTTGCCCAGTGCTCTGTCACCCTGAGGGGAGCAGGGCCTCTCATGGCACCGGCGCTCCCTGAACGTTGTGCAGGCAGCGGGCTCGGAGATCCGCCATCCAGATAGAGTAACAGTCGGCAGTGGTGGATCGAATGTGCTCGTATTGCAGAGTAGTCCGAAGTAATTAGTCACGCTTCAATTTTGCTCGCAGACGGAACGTTGCACGCCTGAGTACCACTGCAAGTGCTGCAAGTACCATGTCAACGGGGATCTGCCGACAGGCACGCAGCCGCAGCTTTCCGAGCCCAAGGTGACGATGGCATCAGTGCTAGCCGCCAGCAGCCAGCATGTCCTGCTCGGGACGACTAGGAATTCGGCGTTGGCGTCTTCCAAGCACCGGCCAGGCCATGTAGACATGTAGTCTGGCTCAACAGCCGCTCTGCTTGAGGAGTGTTTCTCAGGCATGTGCAGCAGACCACCTCTCCTCTGCTGCCGAAGCGGAGCGACGTACCTCAAATGGCGATCAGAGGCCACCTCTTCACGAGAGACACTTCGTTGCAGTTTTGGCTTTTCTTGAAAACCGCAGATTCCGTGATCTTCAGGTTGCGAATGGCTGGAGCCTGTGACGGGAGCGGCGGCCGAACCCGCCTCGCACTAAGACCTCGCAGTCGCTTCAGTCGGAGCGGGTCACCGGGTCACTTTCTCCTTGAGGTGCAGCAGAGCGCAGCGTGCGCTTCTCAGTATACACCTCGGCAAGGGCAGGGAGTCCTTAGTCCTTCGTATTCCATAGTATAGTGTGGAGTGCAATGCAAAAGCAGAGCGAGCCCCGGCCTGGCGGCTCCCCTTTGTGAGGCCTCCCTACCTTCCTGGACGGCCTGGCCAGGCCGAAGAGACTCACACAAGTCTGCACGTGAGCCCAGAACTGCGAGGCACTGTTGGGGGAGGAACCACGCGAATTTGATCCGGATGTTTTGTGGGCAAAGTGATGCCCACAAGCTCTGCACTCTGCAATTCTTTCAGTCACGGAGCTGCCATCACAAGAGCTGGACCGGACAGGTCATCACAATGCAAGGACTAAGCCAAAGGTGACGTCCAATATTAACTAACATATCGTGACAGGATCAGTGGGTGAACTCTTGGATGACAGTGTGCCAACTGGAGCTGTGATGAACCGATTGTTTCATATCGCTCAATCACCACTTCCGTTTCTCAGTCGTGCGTCTTCTTTGAATGGTCGGAGCAGAATGAAGAAAGTCACAGTTGCTGTTGCGGCTGCCTGACGCGTGCATGGAGCAAGAGTCCACATTGCGGCCTCGAAGCCACATTTCCAGCATCAAGTCAGTACAGCTTGCTGCAGAAATTCGAGAGGCAGCCAGAAGTCGGTGGATGAAGGGCTGAAGTTCAAAGGAAGATTGCGGATTGCAGTGCCCAGACCAAGAGTTGTGAGCCGCGACCGATGGCCAACATGAGTTGCCGACCTTGAGCGTATGCGTTTGCCTGGTATGGCTCACTAAGCACATTGCCCAGATTTGTCAATGCCGACTCAGAGTGAGCAAATGCAAACCTACCTACGTCCATATACCTCCACCATGCTTGATGTGGACGTAAGCACTTGCACAGCAAGTTGTTGTCGATGGACGAGCCTTCAGACTCACACTGATGGGTCCAGTCTGCCTCACTTTGAAGTTGTTGCTTGCTTCGCGTGGAGTGGATGCTCCCGTAAGAATTGAGTGAGATGGGTGAGAAAGTGTGCCAGGGCTGCGTCCATGAGCCAGGACGAAGAGGCCAGCAGCGTGCTGTTGCTGGTAGTTTCTGAGCTCCTTGAGCTGCGTCCGACGCCAGGGCTTCTGTGGCGCCCGAGAAGCCCAGGCCAGTTTGGAAGATGCCCCAGTTTGCCAGACGCATGCGGACTAAAGACAAGCCTGTCGAGTAACCTCGAATATGATCTGGCATGATGGATTTTGAATCGCGGGCTTGTCGGGCTTGCAGCTCGCAGCGTAGTGGTTCCAGTGGGAATCAAAGGGGAACGACAGACGGCGGATGTTTCAACCCGCCAACCCACAATTTGGAAAGAACTCCCCCCCTCTCCCCCGCAAACAGATTTTTGAATGATGGCAGGGTGCATACTCGGAGCCAGACCACGACAAGCTTGACGCTGAGCTTCTGAAGGAGGCCTGATTGAAAGCAGTTGCTCTACTGCTACTGTAAGAATCTTGAGTCGAAGTTGGGATGTGCGACCTTCAGCGCCACCAGGAGGGCAACCAACTCCTGAAGGCCGACGAGCCTGAGTTGGCCATCGAACGCTACGAGGGCGCGCTGGCAGTGTTAGGCCGCGTCGGGGCCGACGAACTTCCTGCAGAGCTTTGCTCGTGAGTCGATGAAAGCCTGCAGAGCCGTGTGACTGCCGCAAGACTTGGCCCAAGCGAACCGACTCTCCACACAGCTGCTACGCCTTAGGTGTATCAGCGCTTAGTGCCATGACAAAGGTGCCTTGATTTCAAACTGAAAGGAGTTGTGGCCAGGCACGAGTAGTCAGAAGATTGCCTGAAACGATTCGTTTCCGTCATGTTTGATGCCAAGGTTCAGTGCACAGTTTTGGCCCTCCTCACGGGGGCATCGGCCTTGTCTGCAGAGGCCATGCTTGGACAACGGGCTCCGACGGAGGGGGGAAGAAGGGTTCTAGCTTCGAGAATCGGAGATTTGGTCAGGTGGCAGATTCATGGACGGAAGGAGACGGCGCCTGCAACCTGCAAACCAGGACGGGCTCTCCAATTCTCCTGGGCACGGTTGTGCTGCTCGCCCGAATTCATTTGCAGGGTGGAGCAGGCGGAGTCGGACTACGTGCCCGGCTTGGTCGAGCAGTTCCTTCAAGCACCACTCCCATCGCCCAACCGCAACCTCACCAGCGAGAATCCGCCTTTCGTCAAGATTCAGACATCTGCTCTGGCAAGAGACTTGCATGCGGTCAACATTTCTGAGCCCGGATGTTGCGCTGGCAACATGCCAAGCGGTACCCGGGTTTTCGTTTCGGGAGTCAAGCAAAAAGGGAGGTGTTGCCTGTAAGCAGCACCCTGCGAAACGCCCCATGCTCTTTGGGCGAGGCCTTGGCAAACCCCGAAATGGGCATTGATTCAAGCGAGCGATAATTTGAATAGGGTTTGGGATATATTATACTATATTGCCATAACTATCATAAGGAACCCCCCAAACCCTTTTATGATTCTAATTCATCTGTTTCAGGGTGGTGTTCTTGCACCAAGCTCGAGCAGCTGGCACTTCTCTCCGCAAGCTGATCTCGAACTCCTCCAGGACTTTGGACTGTGACGATAAGGGCTGGCTAGAGAGGTGTCACGCATTGAGAAAAGCACGTACTAGGCCTGGCAGCCATTCAGATCTCCGCCCTCGTCTGAAGGAACCTCGGCCTAAAGGCCCACATCCCCTGCTATGGTGGAGTGGGCTGCAACGACTTCCGTTTGGAAGGGGATGCGGCAGTTTACGCTGGGCACTTCTGCTGGGAAGATGCGCAGCGTAGCCTCAAAGCAAAGGGAGCCAAGGAGGCACCCAGCTTTCGATAAGAGCAGCCCTTGCAGTGAAGGACTGGAGGGGCACGTGATGCCAACCAGACTTGCAGTGTTAGCGCTGCGCCTCTTGCCGTTCGACCGGAGGTCGGCTGCCTCACCAGCTTCCGCGAGCCTGTGCCCCGAATCATGTCTTGCTACTCGGACCGTTTGGTGGGCTCCGAGCACGTGGCGCCGGCTTGCATGGGGGACCTTGGGCTGCAGCTGGCTGCTTTGCGGGGCACCTTTGAAAGCTCAGCCTCAACAAAGGATCTCTCCGTGGACAACTTGAAGAAATTGTTGGTGGACCGCGGCTGCGTGAATGAGCCGTTCCGGAGGCTCCGTGCGACAGTGTATAGTGCAACGAGCCCGAAAGATGAGTGTTGATCAGCGCGACCCGTCCAAGCGCAATTCAGCGCAATTACACTGACATCATGGGGGAGGAGTGGTAGGAGCCGATTGCCGGACTTAAATCCATCTTCGGAAGGTTCAGCGAATGTCAACCAAACTCAACGGTGAGCATGATCGACACGAAGGCAGGTTTGACGGTTTGCCTCGTTGAGGTTAGTCGTTTGCTGGCTGCCCAGTGTTTTGACACATCTGTCGATTTGCAAAGGGCCCTATAAGAGTTCTAATAAAGTCTTCTAGAGCGAGTCCGAGCGAGGCACGTCAAGCGGCTTGGCAGAACACCTTGACCTACATGTCGCAGTGCGTTCCGATCATCCTGGGCAGACAGGTGTCCCTGAAGGCCGGCACGGGGGGCTTTAAGTTCCGGAAGATTTCAGTGGTGCCTATGGCAGTGCATGGATCCTTGGATTCTGATTCTGTGTCGGAGGTGGCTGCCAACCATTTTCCGCAGCTTGCAGATGCTATCTGGGACATGAAGTCCCTGGCAGTCAACAGGAGACCGGATACAGCCAGGAGAATGTACGGGCTTAGTTTGAGGCTCTTGTCACTGCTGCGAGGAATACCCACTACCTCAACCAGGGTGAATGTCACGTTCCGGATTCGCACATGGAGGCCCTCGTCACCAGTTCAGTTGATAGCAAGAGCGCTTCGATTTTTTTTGGCTTTAGTTTGGGTCGGTGATCTCAGTCCCCTTGCACAGCTGTTGCGTGCGCAAGCCCCGCGACAAAGTCAGGCCATTAAAGAGTTGGCCGAGTCAGAGACGATGCAGCTTGGAGAGAAACATTGGGAGCACGGGAGCTGCGAACAGACCCCAAGACTTGGCCAGCTTCGTGTCACCTAAGCCTAGGCTCTACGAGGCAGCCGTGAAGCGAATGTGGCAGCTGATGCTGAAGGTATGAATCTGACAGCCGCCGGCCTCTCGAGGAAATCTTCGATAAGAGGCGACAAGTTTTAGCAAGAAAAAGTTCGAGCCTTTCACTTGGCAGGAGTGGCTCGCACCATATGTGCCCGACAAGCCTCGCTGGATAGGTAATCAGATATAAGTTGCTGCAACCACTCGGATGACATGATAAAGACCTTATGGAGTGATATGTGCTAGGTGACGAACTACGGCTGAAGTGGTGCCGTGAAAATGCTTGCTGCAGCTGTACTGCACAGCTCAAAACGAACCGTTCATAATGTCGCGGTGGTCCCTTCTTGCAGCGAAGGCCCACTGTGCCCTGCGCGGCTTCGGGAACACAGCCTCTTCACCATGAAATCTTCACAAGCTGTGCGCAGAGTGCGCATCTGCAGGCATGGACCTCATGCCTCCTGGCTGCCGGCGTGTTGGCGAGCCAAGCACAGGCGAGTGGCCCCCAACACCGGCATGCCCCAACTGCAAGCAACTGCAACGTTGGGACCTTTGGAGCTGCAGGCTGATGACCTGTCAAGGTGTGCCGGAGCCTGAGACGAGAGAGCTTGCAAGAGGAGCCTGAGCCCACGAGCCTGAGCCGCCTGAGCCCGAGCTCTCTGGGCTCTCCGCCTGAGGCGGATGACGTCAGCGCACTGCAGGTTCGGCAGGAGGAGATCCCAAAGGCCATCGAAGCCCGGACCCGCTGTCTCAACACAAGCTGGCTTTGACAGGTGCCTTCCAATGAGTCGCTCTCACTGCAGCAGCAGCTCAGTTTGGATTTGACGAAGCTGTGGCCTTTCAGAAGCTTTGGCGGGACCCGAGGAGCGCCAGCCAGATGTTCACCGAGCTGGATCCGGTTATGCGAATGATTGGAAACTTCTTGCGTATGCCATACCCCGAGCCAAATCAGCAAATTCGCATGAACAGACCCCTGATATTCATGCCGCTAGATTGCACACCAGCTGCAAAAGCTTCCGCTTTAAGCAAAGGTTTAGGTCCCACAGAGTTTGTGCAAAGGGAAGTGCTCTCTCTTCGTCGCGCCTCCTATTTCTTCTTTCTTGCCAGATAATATTTCTATTCTGTAATGATAGCTCCGGAACGAACGGGATGCGTTCTCGTCCCTGGCATCTTCGCGCTCCACAGGCATCAAGCCAAGTCTGGTGGCACGTCCCTCAGAGAGTTGCTCTACAACGCCTCCATGAGCAAGGGCTGGAAGCCCTACATCCAGTGCTATGGCGTCCCAGCTGCATCTTGAAAAAGCCACTTCGGTTCAGAAGTTCTTTTGCTCACCTGGGTTTTTCGATTTGCGAGTCTTGGTCGGAGGTGCTGTCGGCTGCCAAGACTTCCAGGCTCCCAAGACGAAAGCGGCGGTGTACGCTGGGCATTTTTGCTGCCCGTCCGAATGGAAAAGATCTTGGCCCTGTCCTGATTCCGTGGTGTCGCAACCTTGCCTGTTCAGGCTGGGATGAGTTTGCACAAAACCTGCATCGCCGTGGAGTCAACGAGTTCTCATGCGTCACCAACTTCCGGAAGCCTTTCTATCGCATCCTGTCCTGCTACTCCTACCGAGCCGTCGGCGTAAGGCGGGGCGATGACACGCAACTACGGTTGTCTCTTCTTTTCTCCCGTGTCGGGGGTGTTTTCCGCTTGTGTGCAGCTTTGTCCCCAAGCAGATGTCAGGAAGGATGCGCCGGAGTGCATGGCGAAGCTGTCTCCGAACCAGCTCAGGGATGTTCTCATCCAAGTCGGCTGCGTCAACGAGCCCTTCCGCAGGCGAGCGGCCATGCAAGGGTGCTTCGCCATGCCGGTCGCCCACTGTCTGAAGGCTGAGTGGCGAGTGCTCCGTGATCTCCCACGCTGGTGATTACTCCTCTCAGGCTGCCGAAAGAGCACCCCTCAAAGGGCTTGGCCGTAGCCCAGAGTGTCGAGATGGTGCTTGCACATCTTGCCTGTGCAGGCTCGAAGTGAGGTGTGGAACAGTACATTGCGCAACCTCGCCCAGTGCGTGCCCTTATTCTTGGAGGAGCCCCAGTCTATGAAGGCACCGTTTTGTCCACAGTATCATGGCATGAGGTCGACACAGTTCAGAGCACCCCAGAGCCAGCCCAGACACACTTGCACATTCTGTACTCACATCCTCAGGCTTAGACTTGCCCGACGTGTTCAACCCCCCAAAACTGTAGCTCGGCAGCTGCCGAAAGCACGGCGCACAGTCATAGATGCAGCTAGATGCAGGCTTGCTCTTGAGAAGCACCGCAACGAGAAGATTGACCCGAAGATTGTGTAGACAATTCCGAAAAGGGTTCCGGTTGGCAGGTGTCAGTCGTGAGGCATGAGCTGGTGCGACCGTGGTGGGGGTTGGGTTGGGGGGGAGATGTACAGACCGGAGCTTATCATCAGCGCAGCGCAAACCCTTGACACACACAAATCGAAACTGCCCTGAACAGCCGAAGCAACTAAACCCAACACACCCTAACCCCTATGATGTACCCTGTGGGCCCCAAACTTCCGACTACGAACCAAGAGCCTCGCCTAGCCAGTCCGAGTGTGACAGCAAACCACGAACTCATGTGCCCCGGACGTCTACACGCTTCCTAACCTGAAAACAGTACCATATTCTGCTATAGTATGGAAATGTATGATATAGTACTGTATTATACACTATTGAACTATGTAGTGTAGCACACTTGTGTGCG